GCACGCGGCTTTGTCATTATTCTGCGCGTGCCGCCAGACGGGTCGTCTCTAATCACGGGGGCGGGGGGCGGGGGGCAAGGGCGCGGCGAGATTGTGCACGGGAACGGGGCGGCGCGCGACCGGCGAGGACCGCTTGCACACGTGCGTGGCCGCGGGCGTGCGGCGCAGATATGCAGGGGGACGCGGATGTGCGCAGCGCGGGCGCTTCCGGGCGGGTGGATTCGAAATTGAGGACGTCGAGATTGCATGCGGCGATTTCACGCGATACAGTACAGTACCCAAGGGTACCAAGGTACCAAGGGTACTGTATCGCGTGAAATCACCGCAGCCGGGAGCCGGCGCATACAGTGCCAAGGGTACTGTATGCGCCGGCTCTACCAAGGGTACCCTTCTCACCGGCTTAATTTGGGTAATGGTGTAATTTGGGTACCGTTCAAACCTCGAGCCTATGCCTTCCACAGTAGGCCTCTTAACCAAAGACCGATATATCCCTAGCGTTTCCATGGATCCATATATGGAACCATAGGGGTTTTCAGTAAATTGTCCAATTGCCCTACGGTTCCAAATATGGATCCTTAGGGCCAGATACAAGGCTCTGTTTGAGTACAGATTTACTCTGTAATTCGCGCCGGCGAGACAATCCCACTATACGACTGCGGAGCTGACAGTGAGTGGATGCAGATGAATGTTCAACCTCATAAATCGAGCAACTAGAACGCACGCTGCGATTCAAAACACCCACGACGAAAGAGCAGGATGGCTACAGTCCTTCCAGAGGACCCGGTACCTGCAGTGCGTAGTGAGGAAGCCGAAGGGGCTACGAGAGGCGGAAGGAGACGAGGGAGGGGCCGCAGTCGCGGTGGGCGAGGTCGATTGAGAGGAAGGAGATCAGAAAGGGCAAGGCCAGCAAACTCTCAAAGGGATCCGACTCAAGGGTGGCGTACGTCAAGAGTGAAAGGGCAACGTCTCATGCTTGAGGATGAATTTGTTTCCGAGGTCATTGGGGAGAGGGCAAAGCTTTATTGCTCATCCGCAATGGAGCGAATGGATGTCGAACGGGAGGTCCGGGAATTGCAGACAACGAGAACAGGCTGTGTCGTTCTTTTAATGGATGAGTTGTTGCAAACCTGTCTGGGTTGGCTTCACGAGTATATCGTTCTGCAAAAACTTGCTGTACAGCCGCTGCGGATGTCCGACATGTACCGGTATGTATCCGTATTGCTTTTGTCGCACTGTACGGGATTCAGTTTTCAAAAAACCATCGAGATTCTGCAACGGGACGGTTCCACAACGCCTAGTCTGCAGACAGTACGCTTTTTGAGTAGCAACATACTGGCTTTTTCACCAACAGGGAGAGGACAAGAGGGATGTCGCACTTGGCTAGCTCAAAGAGACCACACTCAACGTCTCACGCAGTTCGAAACCACTGCATTTCAAGTGACATGCAAGATATTTGTTTCTCCTACACACACCCTCGCAACGCTCGATGACGATTTGTATGGAACTAGGGCCACTGATAACCAAGTCAAGACTTTGAGCAGCCGAAAGGCTTACCGAGAAGGCCATTCTGCAGATGCAGTCGCAGACTCCCTTCTCAGAATAACATTAATGTTTCGCTTCCGTCGTCGCCGTGTGCCCCAAACAGAAAATATCTCCATTTTGTTAAAGTCAGTGCTCGAAGGTAGGGGTGAGCGAAGTGTTCACGGTTTTATCATAACCGCTGATCGCGGGTATGGCAAAGTTTCCTTGATGCGTGAACTACTTTCTCTTCGTATTGGGTCCATCATGGTTATGCCTGAGCATTTGTTAAATTGTCACCCATTTGTTGGGAAATCTTTCCTCAGCATCACAAGGAATGATGAAGAAGATAATTCGGATTTGGGCTCGAGCAGCGAAAGCGATGTTTTGGATGGGGAAACCATGACGGTAGAGGGGGTTCACCACTGCCCTATCCCAGACCCCAGCACTGTTGTCACATCAGCTGACAACTCTATTCTAGATCGTCCCCGCGCATTTGTTGTTAACGACAGCCCCGATGAAGGCCCGGCATCGTGGTGGGCAGTTAAAACCTTAAAGGCCACTGGTAGGAGCCGAGGGATCCCAGGCACGAGTTCTAAAGTAACAGCTGTTGCTGTCAGGGAGAGAGGCAGTGACAAGTTCAGTAAGATTCTCCGTTTTATGTACTGTGTTCCGACAACTGTTTCGAAAAGCCTTGAAACGTGGATCGCTGTTCCCAAGAAATCGTCCCTTGGGCAAAAGCTCTTTAGTAAGCGCACTGATGAAAATCGCATCTTCACTCCCGCCGTCGATTCCTTACACTCTAAAGATGTACTCGAACGCCATTTATTGAGCAAATGCACAGTGCTGACTGTTGATCAGCGTTGTGCGGACTGGTTTATCCTGAGGCAGTTCCGAGTTACCGGCACAAGTGCTAGCAAAATTCTCTTTAAAAGTGACGACGTACGTCGCGTCGTCGGTATGACAGCGAGGGCGGAAGGGAATGAATCATTGCAAGATGTGTTGAACTCGTTTTCTGAGACATGGTTCAGCTCCGTACGCTCTACAGAACCCATGATGCGTGGAACCGCCAATGAAAGCGCCGTTTTGTCCGCTCTGTCTAGTCGGCCTTTTGTCAAATGCATCTATGAGTGCGGTATGATGGGGAAAAACATGAGACCTGGCTGGCGTGCTCTCCAGACGCAATTGCCTTGATTAGCAGTTACGGTCTTGGCTTATGCCATGAAACGACTACAGATGGACACCTATCGATTGCCTCAATCGAGATTAAGACAAGCGTTGCTCCATGTAGTCTAGATAGAGCTCTCAATTTGGCTACGACGGACGTTGTGACATGCTGTGTGGGTGATGCCAAATTCAGATAGTATGTTCCGGAGGAGCACACTGGGCAGGTTATTCACCAAATGATAGTTCTTGCAGTCAATTACGTCATTTACATCTCCGCTGCAGAGGCAGGGATAATGTATACATTGGTTGTGTACTGTAGTCCCAGCAGCATTGAAAAATGCTACAGTACACTCAATGACATTGCGCGTCCCACAGTTGCCTGGGCCCATGAGCAAGATCCCCAGCCTCCTGGTTTCACCAAAGCATCTACACGACGCATCTTCAAGTCTCGTTTGCCATTCTGGCTGATGGTGAACAACTTCGTCAAGAACAAGGATCCTTTTCCTCCGTTAAAACTTTTTAAGCATGCCTCACAAAGCCTTTATTCTAAAACGAAGGGTGGAGTAGACGGGAGTGCACAGTCAAGGGCAAACTTTCGATCATCAACATCCTCCTTTAAATGGGAACAAAAAATCGTTTCCCAGACTATCAAAACAATTGGCGTCAATGCCTTTATTGCTTGGCGGATGACACGGACGAAACCTTTGCTAGAAAACAGAGCGTCATTTCAGGGGTTGACTTTTTACCGAAGCTCGCTGAATGGAATGGAATCGCTTGAAGATTTTACCTACGAGGTATCCAGAGAATTGCTCAACTATGCTCAGTCTATACAAACATCAGAAGAAAGCGAGTTGAGAAACGATGAGGCAATCAGCCAAGAAAATATTCACAGGTTGTGTAGACTGGCTGCTAATCGAAAGCGAAAGAGGCTGTTATTCTTCAATGGGGCCGATGGTGTGGTCTTAAGGTTATCGGTTCCTGGGCACCTTATGAAGCAACAAAAAGAGCAGCAGTACTGTGCATTGTGCGGGATAAGGGGAGTCGTTGGGAATGAAAACAACTGGCGGGGACATCGATCGACGTATAGATGTGTGCATTGTGCGGTACATCTTTGTACTCGCATCTACCCTGGGCTGCGAAAAAGCTGCAACGAAATGTGGCACACTCTTTCTGTATTGAAGCCTCGTAGTACTCCGATGCCTGCAGCCCATGTTCCGCAGAGTTCAAGCCGAATGAGTACAATCAACACTGCAAGCACACCACCTGCAGTGTGTAGCAGGGCGAGGCAGCGCAGCAGCACCGAGGATGCAGGTCGTGCTCGCCAACGACAGAGGATGTCATGAGCAGGCACTGTCTTAACAAGACAGATGATGATGCAGGTCTTTTTGTCAGCAAGTACGTTACAAAAGAGTCGTGGCCCATTAAATTGCTAATTTTCGAGATATTTTAGGGATCTATATATGGATCCATACTAGAAATGCACTTCTGAGAGGGGTAAAGGGCTCCGATTTGTACACCCTAGAAAAGAGGGTCGGCTTGAGCCAATTGAATTCCGCTTTTTTGGAGCAGGTCTACAGGTTGCATTCAGCAATCTGGCGAAGACGCGACTCAAAAAATAGGAAACTGAGGGAGTTCGAGGGTTCAGGAAATTAAGGTTCCATATATGGAACCTAAATTCGAACGCTAGGGATATACACTGTGGTATCACAGCCCAGATTTGTAATTTGTACAGCACCCGCCGTCGCGGGTGCCTTACAAGCGCGCGACTACACGTGTGCCATACTGGCGAATGGACCACACGTGTGCCTTACAGGCGGACGAACTACACGTGGGCATTACAGGCCGATGGACGACACGTGTGCCTTACAGACGGACGAACTACACGTGGGCATTACAGGCCGATGACGTACTGTATACAGTTGTGAAGATTTAGACTGTTGTGCACGTGTAAGCGGTGTGGGGTTTTAATGCAGACTTGCACTTTGGGTGAATACAATGTTTATGGCCTATGTGTATTGAGCCGGAAGGGTCACCAGCATAGATTTGGGTGTGCGTATGAGGAAACACACACATATAGAGAGGAAGCAGACAGCGGGAGAGGAGTGCGACATTGAATCGGAAATAGGAAGGATCATGGGCAAATGCAGCAGCCAAGGATCGCGGAGGAGATAGTGCACGGAAGGGATGTGCAATGAGGCGCATGACGATGCGCAAAACGGAAAGAAACGCGAGCGGGCCTAGGTATTTATACAGCTTAGAAGAGAGCTAGTAAGAAAAAAGAAAAGGAGGACACGCACGGGAGGACGAGCACCCGAGCCAGCTGATGCTGAATACCTTTGCCGATACGGAACACGTTTTGCCGAACCATCTAGAACCACCTCATAACACTTGAAGGGAACCAACCTGCATCCTTGCCTCAGGATGACCAGTGAGAACTCACAACAGTACAGCCCGGAGATTGTATATGACAAGGTACAGTAGTAATGGCATAGTACAGTGCATTGCACCATAGAGTACAGTAGTACCGTAGGATGGACAATGTCCAAGACCGCGCGACCTCGCTTATTTAAGCGAAGGCGCCAGGCAATGACAGTAAACAGTCAAGGATCTTTTGGGAACGGATTTCCTTCGTCGGTGCGACACCGCGGGTCAAGACAAGCCTCTGACTTAGGCGGCATTGTCGGCATCTGTCTTGCGACGTTTCCCTGGCTTCTATTGCCTTTACTTTACCTTTTCCATTCCTCCGTCCTTGCGACTACGCGGGTTAGGACTAGCCTCTAGCCTCGGCGTGTTACTGTCGCTCGACGTTTCAATTGTTTTCCTTTTTACTCTGTCGTGGCGACTACGCGGGCTAAGACTAGCCTCTAGCCTGCGCGTTTTACTGTCGCACGACCTATTTCTCTCTCCCTGCATTGTGACGATTGTCAAGTCGCGGGCTACGACAAGCCTCTGGCCTTGGCGGCACTATTGACATCTGTCCCGCTCGTTCCCTCTAGGAGTTTCCGCTACTCGGGGCTTCGCCCGTGTCTCACACTAGTCTTTAGGCTCGGGTTCACCCCTGTTTTGTGTGTTCTTACACCGCCCCTTCCAGTGCTGGTCCCATTCCGGGTCCGCACTTCGACCAGTACGTCGTGCTTTTACAGTCGGCCGACGTACTTCCCCTTTGCTCTACCACAGTCCCGTTCTACCTCGGGACACCCGCTATCGGTTGCTACCTCTTCCTCGAGCTAGCTCATAGCTGGCGACCGCCACTATACTACATACACAAAAGCAGTCGGTCCGCTTTGAAAAATTCGGAATTTGTAGTTTTCAGAGTTGGGTATGATCCCACATATCACAAAATTTACGCAACAAAAACCCCCGTCGCCCTCTCAATATCCATCTTTTTCAGTCAAATGTACCGCTCTAACTTTGTCAGACTCTCTCTCTCATCCTCAGTCTGCGTCTACCCGCCCGCATTCTTCTCTCCTCCCTTTACCGTGTTACAAAACTATGCGCCAAATTTAGGACCTGAAATCCATCAGAGCGACCTTCGGCAATGGCTTGCCAATTAAGGCCTGTTACAGCCGACCCTTTTCCGGTATCTGAAAATCATTCTTGCCACGCTTGTGGGCAGAACTCGAAGAAAAGACCTACCGAGACTGTTATCCTAACCGAGAAACAGCTCCAGAAGCGAGCGAATGTAGATACATCGCCACACCAAAACCCATTTCTTGAATTGTAGGGCAAGAGCATTCTGTTGTGTTCCGATTGTCTTCAAGTCACGGTTGGAGGGTCATATGTGATCCTAGAAGGTATAGGGCGAAATCGCGCTCTGCCCTACAATCTTGGAAGCGGAGAACGTCTCCAAGTCAAATTCAAAAAACATTGGAGTGCTACATTTGTCAATACCTCGAATCCATGCATACACAAGCGTCTGCGCCTCACCTAAAGCTATCAAAACGAAATCTTCCCCTCATGCAATTACTTCTGTGCACACATGAATCGCAAGAACGTTTTTGTGTCGATCTAAGCAGGCGTTCTGGAATGAACATTTCCGACGCACGGTTTCTGCTATGTAGACTTCCAGAAGCACATTTTTGTTACTTGCATCACAACCAAACACGGCATTCAGAAGATTTTGCGTCTGAGATAGAGCCAAGAAAACGAAAATGAATCAACCCACACAGCTGTAGCAGGTCTTGCTGAGAAAAGAATTATACATTTGTTGGCATCGGACACGGAAGAAAATGATCTAGCAGAAATAATCAACATATTGGACTAATGATAATTGACGAGAATTAATAAACTGAAACAAACTAGATCTAGTTTGTTTCAGTTTATTAATTCTCGACTGTGAGTAGCACCTGTGCCACGTCGACGTGGCACAGGTGCTACTCACACATTGCATATTTCATAAACAAGTCCAACTTATTACAAGCTTGTCGGAGAGAGGGGGGAAATGCTATCTGCATTGCCTCAACGTTCACTTTAACTTGTGATGGATTGCGACACGCAACTGCAACCCAGTGTAGATACAGAAGCTCTACATCCTTCGGAGGAGGATACCTCTCCATATACGAACGATTACGCCATATAAATAGACCCAGCTCCTGAAAACCGTGATACACTTTCAAAACCCTAGAGGTAAAGTAGCCTTCCTGCTTTCTAAATGAAAGAGAACCGGGGGATTCTCACGAGCATAGTTCCTTGTGAGGATAGTCCGGAAGTCCTGTCAACCACTCCGTACCTTCCTGATAGTGGCAACAAAACAAAACGGCAATACGGGGAGCTTTCTCTAGCACTGTTGTCAAATTGCGTTACCATTCTTTGGAGAAACGTCCTCTCGAATGGAGGATTTCCACCTGCACCCTCAAACCTTCCTTCAATATCTTCCCAAGCACCCAGCGACCCAAACACATGATCATCGTATTCTTGACTACAGTAAACAGGCATTACTCCACTTTCATTGAGAGCGTCTGCAAACAGCTCTACAGTAATGCATGAAGTGAGTACCCAGAGTGAGTAAAGGGATGGCGTCACTGTTTTCGATGCAGAGCTAAACTGAAATGAACTTTCTGCACATTGTCTCGCATAGTGTCTGTAAGAATTTGTAATCCCCAATGCCTGGAAGTACATCACTGACAGTCTTTGCAGAGAGAAAGAATTCCCTACTGACCACTGAATGGGTCCGTTCCACTTCCCCTCTTATCGCAACGTTCTTCAAATATCTCCAATACAGTCTCAAGGCAAGATCTCTCCTCACCACAATTTTTTGAATGATAGATCGTGTCGGTAGATTTTCGTTCCGAGAGATGACATACGCCAGGCAGCCTCTCCCTCGACAGCAATGTTTGTGAAGTTGTAGAACAGATAAAGTATATCCCGGCACAGAAACATCCCCCACCAAATCACGCCAAATACTGTCAGAACAACCCAACGAGGAACATCCCATAACTTTTTTCTCGGAAGAGCATCCTGTCCACCCCATCTGCAATCCGTACTCATATGTCCCAAAGTTCATGTGAGAACCACACAATATCCTGTTGATCTTAAGAGCTACTTTCGGCGACCGAAAAACGAAGGGTCACTGTGCATGCGATGTACAAAGTTTGGGCGCTCAAACTACGCGTCATGCTCGTATAAGGAGGACGTAAAATGAAACAGATAGGACCAGCTGGTTTGGAGCCGTTCCGAACACGCTTTGAGAAGGGGAAATAGAGAGTGGGGTGGCAACACTCTGCAGTTCAAAGAGTGCTCAGAGTTGAAGACTGGTCAGGGCACATTCGGTGGGTGAGGTGTAACGGTCATCAGATGTGGATATAAGGGTAGCAGGGACAGAATCAGAATATGCTTGCCCGCAATCAGAACCAAGGTTTCCAAATTGATTTGAAAATTTGTCAAATCTGATGGACTGAAAGACTGTGTAAATTCACAAATTCTTCGTTTTTTCCAAGGTTTATTTACAGTAGAGAAAACTTAAAGCAACTGGGCAGAAACAGAGACGTCAAGGAAATGCAACTCCGGCTACTGTAAACACCGTACACCTGAGCAAGGCCTCGGTATCTACTTGGTAGGTCAATGATAGCGACGACACACAGCGATCCACACCGACTCAAGATCCACGTCGCTTCTGGACCATATGTGCAAGGCACGCCTCCCCTCCTGCGCCTCGCTCCACATCGTCCCTGTTTTCGTCGTCCGCGACGGCCGCTGGGGGGTTTGGGGGCTGGTCGTTGGCGGAGGAGTCGTCGTCCTCGTCGCCGTTGGCGGAAAAGGCCCTTGAGGTAGCGGCACCGGGCGTGCGGACGGGCACAGTGCGAAGGGGTATTCGCGCGGAGCGGTGCCTTTGACGTGAAGAAGAGGGCTCCAAAAGGGGTTTTGCCAGAAGCGGAAACAAGATGGGAACGCTGCCCATATGGTACGGCGTGAGTGGAGGGATATCTAGCCATCTGATAGGCAGCGGGCGGCGTCAGCTAGGCACATCCTGCACCAGCAAGGGCTCCTTTTCTCGCACCTTTGTTGCAAATAGGGCGCATATGGACTGCAAGAGGACTAGCAGGTCACACGATTGGCTCGAGGTCGGGGTCGCGGTGGTGGTTGTGTTGTTCGGGGCGGGGGCGGTGCTCCGACGGCAGCAGTCGGGAAACGTCCAGCAGCTTGGCGTCGGACAAGGGTGGTGATGGTGATGGATGAGTGTCGGGTTGCGACCGAGGAGTGTCTCCGAAACGGTTGGGCTGGCGCGAACGGGGGACCGGGGTGCTGCGGGGGGACTTTTTCGGCGCGTTTGCGCAGATAGGTGAAGCTGGAGATGCGCTCCTCTTACTGGAAGGGGGCGAAAAGGGCCAGGGAGGCGGCGAGCACTGCGAGTAAGAAAGCGGATAGGAATTAGGTGCCATTTAATAACTATCAGGCTGGCCGTCTGGGACACAGGTAGCTCGAAATTGAATTTCCATCCTCCTCCTCCTCTTTTCCTTGTACTTTGCCTGCACATGCTTCCTTCTTTCAGCGTGACTTTCTGCTATCCTGTACCACTTGTATTTTATTTGTCGGTAAAGCTGGACATCGCCCTCGCGAAGCGAAGGGGAAGAGGGGATCTGCAAGGGAAGGTATGGTGAGGGAAGAGATGTGGGTGTACTGTCCGGAGGTTGTCTGTAAGGGTGCGGTTTAAATGCGCAATGATGGGCATGTCTCCAAAAGAGGCGGGCTTTTTCGTAAGTCTCCGTCCACTTCTATTTTTTCTGTAGACGCACAGTACTGCTACGTGTTATGTTGACCAGCGATGATTCAACTGAATATTCTCCATTTCGACTGTCACCTTCAAATTATGCAATCAATTTGATGTTTACAGTCTGATATGGATGCCCTAGCATATGATTGGCACGTTTGGCAGTCCCCTCCCAACTGTGCTAAGGGTCTAGTGCATCTCAAAACCCGATACCTCGAGCAGGGACAATATTCTTCTCCCTCTTCCACCCTACGTGCGACTCGACTCGGCAGTGGCGGTATGCCACCGTCAATGAGAGCGCAAGCGCTCGCTCACAAGAGGCAAATCGCCAAAAGAAAAGAGGAGGCCGCTCGACGCGCAAAGATCCTTTCCCTAATCAAAGGGGGCCACAGCGCCCTCAAAGCGTCAGGAAAGACAAGCGTGTCTCGATCAACCGCCACACGAATCAAGAAAGCATATCAAAGCTCAAACACGGACGAACTCAAAAAGTTGCTAAATACAGAGCACAATCACGCCGGTCGCAAACCCATTCTGTCTCCACATGAGGAACAACTTGTAGTTAACCGAGCTCTACATGCCGCCCAGCATGGCTTCGCAGTAGACAACAACGTGATGAGCACAGTACACGCCAAAAGTTCGGCTGATCGTTCCGCCAGATACGCAAATGGCTTGCCCTCACCAGACGCTATCCGTTCATTTCGAGCTCGTAATCGCTCCCTCGCTTATCGTGTTGCTGAGAATGTGTCGAGCGCACGCCTCGCTGCTGAGAATCAGTCTCATATACTCACTCTGGCAAAAGCCCTCAAACGCGTCGAGTAAAATCATCCAGGCATTTTTTTGGACCCACACCGAATTGGGAACTGGGACCAGACGGCTGTCTCAGGAGAGTATGGTAGAAAAATAAGGTGTTACACCTCCTCCAATGCCTACAGCGGTGCTGCGAGGAGGAGCATACGGGACGCTGGGAACAATTTGACCGCTGGTATCGCTGTGGCGGCTTGCAGAAACATTGCATCTCTATTTCTCTTAGCTTCCGGGAAGCGGGTTGTGGGCACTTGGAAGGAGCCCCTGAGCGAACTTGACCTTACTGACGCGCGAGGAATACCCTTTTGGCTTTGTGGGTCACAATGGTTTCCCTCAGACACATCTCTTCACATAACAAAGAATGGATCCGTGGATCGAAACATAATCGTCAAAATTGCAGAGCACATAAACAAGCATGCTCGAAAAACCATCTGCTCAGATAAGCAAATTGTGCTGTTGGTGGACGGACACAGCTCCCGTGATGGGCTACAGTGGCTTGAGACGTGTGAAAGATTGAATATTATCGTTGTGTGGCTCCCCGCAAACACAATGCATATTCTCCAACCCTGTGACCAATTTGTGAATCGCTCATGTCAGCAAACAGTGCGGAAGAAAAGGGACGAATTTCTCTCTATGAGCCATTTATCATGGACCAATATCTCTTACAAAATCAAACTGGCAGTTGCAGGCCACCAGTCCATCACACCCGACGATGCTCGAGCGTCGTTTGTCAAATGCTGTATTTGACCTATGGACTGCCGTTTTATATACTTTGCTTCCTCTGATAGTGCTCCAAATGGCCTCGACACACGATCTGGTATCTCATATCCCAGTACAGGGCGGCATTTTGTCCGTTGGACCTCACATGCGGTCATGCGGACGCAAAACCTCAAACTACAAAAAGAAATTCACGAACTGACTGACGGCAGGCTACCCGTCTCCCGCGCTCTCGCACAGATTGCCTATCTTCTCCACTCCAATTTCAGAGTCCAGAACATACTATCACACGAAATCCGTGCCCCTTAAACGGCATCCTGCACTCGCGCAGCACGTAAAAATAGTGGAAATGCACGGAGCGGCTGTTCTCACTTCGAATGTTTCTCAAAGGCTGTCGGAGGCTAGCGAAACTTCAAATCGCGAACACGCGAGCTCACTGGCTATGAAGACACACAGTAGGGTGATGTCGAGGGAGTCTTTTTGTGACAAAGAAAACGTAGATCCTGCTGGAGAGGCGAAGGTCGCTCGAAACCTAGAGAGCAGTTTTTCGGATTCTTTGGACGATGTTCCCCTGAGTCAGTGGCCGACACAGAGTCGGCGTAGTGTCAAGGGGAAAGGGGAGAGTCGCGACACCGGTCCGCAACATGCCGCAGCACAAAGTCTCCTCGGTTTGTCGCAGCCTAGGTAAAAGTGCTGCGGTATTGGTACCCCAATTGAGCCGGATGGTACGTGGAGCAGTCAAAGAGAGATTTTTTGGTACTGAAAATCTGGCCAGTACAGGGGTAAAATGGCCCATTTTAGGAAAATTCTAAAGCTACTCAAATTGAGCCGATGAGAAGAGTACTGTATGCGCCGGCTCCCGGCTGTCGGGGAGGGACGTCCGCGCAGACGGGGTTTTTGGTTAGCGGGACACGCAGCCAGACCGCACACGTCACCGCGCCGCGCAAAAGCCTTGCCCGTCAGGGGCGGCGGCGTGCAGCTGCTCCGCGCTGCGCTTTTGGCGCTGTGGCAACCTGAAATATATTGGGGAAGAGGTCCCTTTGTACTGTTAACAAATGCCTTACTTTACTAGAAGTATATCCTTATTAATGTACAAGGGTGCAGCATAAACGTGCACGTGCACGTGCACCTTGTTTCCAACACGCACGCCCACCTCGCTTGCGATATTGTTACCGTAAAGTTAACTTTATCATGGGACTTGAGGCACACATCAGGTGTCGAGTCAACCCGTTTTGAGGCGCACTGCCCCCCATTACAGACCACATCCTCTGTAATGACACCTACCATGAGCCACTTTTTCCACCGAAACCCCCAATTTCCCACTTTCTATCTCGCGTCGTGGCCCCCCGCGCTTGCGCTGCCCCCCTTCATCCCGGCGATTCCTTCCCCTTTCCTCCCCC